TTGATCATAATTTTTAGTTTCGAAATCGAGACTAAAACTGGTTCCATTTTTTTTATCCCTCATTTTTGTATATTGCTGATATAGAAAATATTTTTTATTTTTCAATTTTTCGATATTAATAGTATAGAAAATCTTAATTTGTATTTCTTATTTTTCTATATTGGTAAGATAGAAGATCGTCGTTTTTATTTTTCTATATTGATGAAATAAAAACAGTTAGTTTTGTGTCTTATTCGTCTATAATAATAATACAGAAAATGCTAATTTTTCTTTCTTATTTTTCTATATTAGTAGCACAAAAAGTCCCTTTTTTTTCTTATTTTTCCATATTAATAATACGGAAGATCATATTCTTTAGTTTTTTGTTTTTTCTATATTGGTAATGTAGAAAATCTTAACTTTTATTTCTTGTTTCTCTTTGTTAACGGTATACAGAGTAAAATTTTTTATGGATGAGTTTTTGTGACTATTATGCTATGAGTTTTATTATGTAATGATAACTGCCAGTGTAGGCACCTATGCATCAGGTTCCAAGATCTGGGCTATGTGAAGTTAAGTTGAACTATAGTTGCCAGGCAAGGTGAAACATGACGAGAATGTATGTTTTTAAAGAAATCAGTTAAAACCTTACTGTACGATTTTTTATAATCATACAAGATTTTAGTGTTGGAGCATCTAAGAAACTTGCTAGAAGAATTGACATCAGATTTCTGAGCCGACAATTTTTCATATGATTTTTTTGTGTCATCTTGTATGAACATATACGATTTTTGAGTAACATCGGATAGGATCATACAAGAATTCATAACTGATCTTACTATGTCATTTTTCGACCTGGGTATGGTCGACACATGCAACTTAACTTACGACTAACTTACGACCATATGCAGTTGTATACTACACTCTTGCACGGCAGTCATTTATTTTCAACGTATACGTTGATCGTATTTGAACGTATGGCACCGTATACATTCATCGTATACGACGATCGTATAAGATGACTGTTTCTAGACGTATTTCGTCGTATACGACCGTTTACGATCATGCTTTTTTGACCTGAGATACTCTATTTAGGAGTTCACCACGTAGTCAAAGGAACTATTCATGCATCTTTGTCATAATTTAACAAGTCAGAGTGAAGCTGTTCGAGAGAAATCGTTTTATTTCATTATGAAAAACAATTCGAAAGTAGTGTCGTGAGTTTAATGTTGCAAAGCTGACGAAAGAAATATGGTGAAAGTAATTTTAATTTTGTGACCTTCGTCAAAGTCATGAAACTTTTTGATGAATATGTACAAAATAAAAAAGTTTTCTATCGCTTGACTTTCTAGGAAGTCGATGCATTTTGATTAACGTAAATATCTACAGACATTTTTTTTTATAAACGAGAAGTGTCACATGAGTAAATCTTTGACCGTATTTGTGTCACTTCAGGTTTCAATTCTTAGATCAAACCTATGTATTCGATTACGCTTAAATTGCGCCGTAATTATACTCAGATAGAAAAATATCACAATTGAATTCTATGGTGAGGGTGTGGGTGTGGGTGTGGGTGTGGGTGTGGATGTTGGTGTGGGTGTTGATGTTGGTGTGGATGTGGGGTGGCTGGGGTGTGTGGATGTGGATGTGGATGTGGATGTGGGGTGTGAGGTGTGGGATGTGGGTGTCGGTGTTGGTGTGAGTGTGAGTGTGTGTTAGATCTTATTCTTATATCTACGAGAACGACATGAATATTCCTTAAAGTTCTGAAAAACTTCTACCAAAAAAATTTTTTTTCTTTCACCAAACATTAAAGCATTATACAAATCAGTACAGATTTCTTTTCTATCGAATAAGTCAAAACGATGGAAACACCAGTCATTTTCCAAGTATCTCAACACAGAAAAATCCTTTAACGTTGAATTTCGTTTTTTTGAAAGCTATACCGTCAAACCCTTCATAAGATGCCAATGAAAAATCCCATTCAATATTTTAATGGCTGTCTTATAAGGCTAAAACTGAACCAATGTATACTGGTCAAATGCTCCATTATATAGAGAGAAACCAAAAAAATCTTCTTTTTATTTCAAACAAACTTTTGCATGGTATCATGATATATTTACATCAAAAAGGTTTAAGTAAAATGATATAATAAGGTCGATCACTTTGTGAATATAACTAAAATTAATTTTTTGACATGTCTCAAAGATTTGTTTTTTCAAATCTTCCAGAACTGAGCAAGTACGAGTACGTACTCATAGTTGCAAAGCTCTGAAATCTTTTCAAGTGTTGATCTTTTGATAAACCTAATGAATTCTTTGACATTCTCGTAGAGAATTCGACGGTGCATCTGATAAAACAAAATTCGATGCTACAAGATTTGTTTGTATTAAAATATTTGCAAAATACTTGACGTTATAATCATTTTGACTCATCTCGTATTTTTACACAGCTACTATCAACCAATAGTTTTAAAAACAACAATGTAACTACGATGATTTATGTTTCGACGATTCTCTGACTCATCTGATAAGAAACATCAATAAAAAGTATATGCAAGGTCATTTTACATCGAACTCGAAGATTTATCTTATATCAATGATATAACTATGTTAAGAATTACTAATCAAATAAAATCTTCATTAGAATATGTACCATTTAAACAAATCAATATTGAATCAACAATTCGTTCGTTTGCTGCTAATGTAACAATAACACAAATATTTCGAAATGATGAATATACATCTATTGAAGCTGTTTATTATTTTCCTATTGAAGAACAAGCAGCTATTTATAATTTTACAGCTCGTATTGATAATCGAGAAATAATTGCACAATTAAAAGAAAAAAAAGAAGCACAATTTGAAAATAATAATGTCTTAAAACAACAACAACAACAACATTGTACTTATTTATTAGAACAAGATGAAAAATCACAAGATACTTTTATAATTAATGTTGGTTCTTTACCTCCATCAAAAGAATGTACAATAATTATATCATATGTTACAGAATTAGATCTTATTCAAGGTTCAATAATTCGTTTTGTTATTCCAACAACTATTGCACCTCGATATAGTTCTCAAAAAAAACGTACTATTTCACTAGTAAATACTAAATCTAAATATGTTCAATCAATACCATATATCATTGAATTTCAATGTCGTATTGAAAAAATTTATGGGCCTAATCAACAGCAATATATAGCACGATTAAATTCTCCATCACATCATGTTGATATTGATCTTTCTCTACATGATGCTTATATAGTTACATTTGCACAAAAAAATACATATTTAGATCGTGATATACTTTTAGATATAAAATTATCTGATAAACGTGCAAATACATTTGTTGTTGTTGAATCAAATGCTGCTATGGCTGCCGTAACACCATTTGAAGAAGATTGTTATTTAACATTAAATAATAGACAAACAAATGAATTTATATTTGTTCTTGATTGTAGTGGATCAATGAAAAATGAAAATAAAATTGGATTAGCTCGTGAAGCTATGTTATATTTTATTAGAAATCTTCCAATGAATTGTTATTTTAATATAATTAAATTTGGAGCAAAATATAGTTGTTTATTTAATGAATCAACTGCTTCTTATAATAATATTAATATACGAATTGCTGAGAAATTTATCAGTCAAATACGAGCAGATTTAGGTGGTACTGAAATAGTAAGTCCTTTTTTCTAATTATGATATTTCAGAGAGATATTCACTTATATCCATCCTGCACTGACTCTGTTTTCACTGATTTACCTGATAATCCATAGGCGAGCAAATTATGAGAGCGCGAGCCGCTCGCACGAGCACTGTACATCGCAGTGATATTTGTGTAAGTCTAACTGTGCTCGTCAGACATGTGTCACTATAGTAGAATTTTTGGATTCTAACTGAACTGTATATTCATTCAAAATGGCAAATGTAAATTGACTTTATACGAATCAAAAATGTTGTGAAAGAAATTTCACTGATGAATTTTCTTTGATTTACGAAGAAAATTTTCCAACTGAGAAATCGGTGTTGAATCGAGACGATGTACATTGTATAGATTCAAATGAATTATGAGTATCATGAAAAGAGTTCATACTTTTAGCTTATTGCAGCGGAGATACTACACTTTTACGGTACTTTTTAAATGAAGACCATGGTAACAGCATACCACGGCCTTCATTTAAAAGAATACGATAAACATGCACATATCTTCTCAACAATAATCTTTTTAGTCAGGACTCTAGCTAAGTAGTTAGCTTTCTATATTAAAATGAAAAAAATGTCACAAATCTGTATATATATATATATATATATATTTATAGCTTGCACCTTTACAATGGCTTGAACGTCATCCACCTCCGATTGATCGTTCTCGTCAAGTATTTCTTCTAACTGATGGTGAAGTTTCAAATGTATCTGAAGTATTAGAATTATGTCGTTCAATGGCTTCATCAACTCGAATATTTTCATTTGGTTTAGGTGCATCACCAAGTCGATCTCTTGTGAAAGGTCTTGCACGAACAACAAATGGTCGATTTATTTTTATTCCACCAAATACTCATATCGATGTTTATGTTCGAGAACAATTACAGAAAGCCATTCAACGATGTATTACAAATATTCATATTCAATGGAATCTTGGAATTCCTATACAAAATGTACCAAATCAATTATCACCAGCCTATATGAATGATCGTTTAATTATCTATGCTCTAACCAATGATCAAACAATACAATTAAATAATAAATCTTCAATTGAAATTCGAACTAATCAAAGTTATTATCGTTTAGGTATAACGAATACTGATCGTATAACAAATAATACAAAAATGATAGCACGTCTTGCTGCTAAAGCATTAATACTTGAATTAGAACATTGTAAAATATTACGAAAAAATTCAAAACAAGTACGGTTTGTAGATATTGATGATGACTCAAAAAAACATAATGAAATTATTCGAACAAAAGAAAATATTAAACAACGTATTATTGATTTATCATTACAATATAATATTCTCAGTCGATATACAGTATTTATTGGTATTGAAAAATATTTCAATAATAATAGTACTGATATGATTTTACGTGAAGTACCAATACAAATATCAACTGATAATCAATATTTTCAATCGATCGATTCAAGATCTGAAAAAATTTTAAGTGATATCAATGATATTGATTCATATTCTTCATCATTAACTAAAATGAGTACATTGATGAATGATAAAGATATGAGTTATTATCAAGAAAAAGATTCTCTTGAGCACGTTCAATCTCATCGTAATATTTCTATTCCCGTACACTCGAGTACAAGTAAAGAAAGTCGTTACATAACATTGTCAAATGAACATAAATTTATTCAAGATAATTTGTTAAAGAAAGACATATATAGAGATCAAAATGAAATTTGTTCGATGAATGATAAAGATCTTGTTTATTATTTAATAAATAAACAAAAAGATGATGGTCTTTGGAATTTTGATACAAATAGAAAAACAATAAAAGATTTAACAGGAAAACCTCTTGCTATTTTTCAATCATTAGAAATTCATGGTAATATTCAAATCTTTGTTACAGCAATTATTATTGTCTTATTTGAAGTAAGATTTATGGCATTACGTTCAATATGGGATGATGCTGTAGAAAAAGCACATCAACGTTTAATAAATTTACTAAATAATGACTGGAAACAATTAATCTTTTTATTTCGACATATTAGACTAATATTAAGTGGATGAAAAATACCTCGAACGATTTCGAAATTAATACTACGTAGTTCTGATTGATGAATATAATATTGAATAATATGATCTGCATGATTAGAAAAAGAATCTCTTTAGTATAGCTATTGAATCGATCTAAGAAAATATCATATTCCCTTGATGATTGTATTGACGAAGAATTCTTTTGATATTTTGTTGATTAGTAGTATCAAAAATTAATCTAACAATGAGCAATGCAAAATTTACAAATGAAATTGAAATTCATTTGATATAATTTTACTTCGATTAAGCTTTAAAAGATTTTGTCCTTAGTCCATAACATTTATTTTGAATTATTTCTTTCAAAAAAACAAAACAAAGGATCGGAAATTGGTCATTATATAAATTAACATCATTTGTTTTAAATATACTTTGTCCTTAATAGACACATTAACAAAACAGAAAAAGGTTCATGTCAAGATATTCT